AAAGTGGACTGGTCCTTTACCAGGCCCCTATACTTATAGGAAAGTGGACTGGTCCTTTACCAGGCCCCTATACTTATAGAAAAGTGGACTGGTCCTTTACCAGGCCCCTATACTTATAGGAAAGTGGACTGACCCACATGACTTCCTGTCTAGAATGAACAAGAAAAATAATAAGACAAGAAATTAAATAGAATCAACAACTATTAACCTGCAAATAAATACTGTAAATAATAAAAAAATATATACATTTAAGAATGAACTAACAAAATTCAAATGAATAAAGAAATAGGAATAAATAGCTCCAACAGAGTCCTTCACATGCAATGATCATCTTTGCTAGCTGTCGATGTTAGCGGCGCCACCAGGGGCTACTTTAATGTGCAGATATGAAGCTTTGTGAGTGACTCACACAGGTCAAATGTTATTTTCATTAAGCAAATGATGGCTGATATGAAAAAAAAAAACAGACCACAGAATCTTCAGAGTGACTCGCTTTATTTATCATTCATCTGCAGTTTGATGGCCAAACTGCAAATGCCCAAGAGGTCAATTTACCTGTTTTTTAGGGTTATATATATGATAACAGTGGAATAGGCCGTGTATATATGATATATATATTTAATATATGATATGATAACCATGTGCATGTGTAAGGTGAGTTTCCAGGTAATTCTGAGTAGTGCAGTCCTTAACCCTTTAAAGCCCGATCCAAGAATAAAACAAAACAGAAAATCACTTTTTTTGGGTTTGACTTCCTTATTTGGCCTTTTAACAAAATATGTAAAAAGAAAAACAGAAATACATTTTTGATATTAATGATTTATTACTATGCGATAAGTCCAGATTATTTTTGTGTATCTTCTGCCCCCTGTTATCAGGTGTATCTGATTGTGTTCAATAGGATTTAGAGCTAAGTTTTTACCATTAAATTATGCAAAAGGACGCAAAACATTTCAGAAACCGTATGAATCAGATATGACACATTTGGCATTACAGGGTTAATAGCTTAGATATAATGGGAAGTCCACACATCAAATCAAGAGCACTTCTCTCCGCTCAATATAAAGGAAGAATAAATCTACCCTTCAATTACCTCCACATCCTGAAATGTCACAGGGAAGTGAATTAGGGCTAAATTCTTCATTAATACCCCGTCACAGCTCCTTCCCTTGAGTTTCTCCCATTAATTTGTGGCGGTTGTTTTATTGGCAGAGCAGAGATGGATTTGGCAGGAATACATGCTCACCACGTGCCTTTTCTCCCTTTTTTCTGTTTCCAGGTCAGTCCTGACAGAAACAGCTGCAGAGGAGGGTATATTTAGAAACCTGAACCAGAGTGTGAAGCTGTACACACTAGGGCTGTCACGATACGGGGGATCTTCTTACAAAGAATGCAACGATCTATAACTTTAATCATATGTACATTCTAACAGTGAAAGTCAGAATCCCAAAGAAAATTCCAGAAAATCACATCATATGAATTTATACAAATTGATAACCATCTGATGAGGAAAAATAAGCATTCTTTGTAAGTGGGCAAACCTGCAAAATCAGCAAGGGCTCAGATACTTATTTCCCCCGCTGTATGGGTTTATTTATTTGCCCTTTCAGAGAGTCTCTCTTTCTGAGGCTGACAGTCGTACACACTAGGGTTGTCACGATACTAAAATTTTCAACTGGATACCGATACTCAGGAAAATACCACAAGGATAAAAACAAAAACCCCAAAATGTAACTGAATTTTGACAGGTTAGTGTCTTTCATTTCAAACTGACCTGTTACTGATGTTATTGTGACTGGTGGCCCACATTAACTCAGGTATATCTGAATGTGTACAACAGGGGTTTGAGCAAAGCTTTTACCACTGAATGATGCAAAAGATCTCCGTATGTATCAAATATGACACATTTGGCATTATAGGGTTAAATCAATGGTAACATCAAATCTAACGTAATTACATTTAAAGCTTCAGATTTGACATATGGAATTGAATCGGTGCTGTATGCTTCTCATATGTACTGATACACAAATACAGTTTATTTTTCCTCTAAATATCACGGATGAATTAGCTTCTGTGTGACTTGATTTATGGTTCCTATCTAATTTTATTCCTGTTTCTTTAAGAGGAAGACCTGAGACTGTCATAAATAGATTCTTAACAATTCCCTAGGAGCAAACACTTGGCAGCAGTGGGGAGAGATGAATAACTCTCTTCACAGGAAGAGTCTGGCAGGGGCTGACTTTAGTTGGATGGGTTGGGTGAGAAGAGGCGAAAAGAAAAAAGAATAGCACGGGTAAACAACAAACAGTGAGAGTTGGAAGCATTTGAGCTATAGACACCAGCAGGAAAACACACAAAGGGAGAGAAGGAGAGGCTGTTAAGCTAACGCTATTCAGCCGCGCGAAACTAAAGGATGAACAGTGAGAGTTCCCCAGAACCCGGACCTATGGAGGCAGAACTAAGGGATGTTTCATGGTCTCTGAGCCAGCAGTAGATATATATATACATATATATATATATAACAGCAGTAGATATAGACTCCATCAGACAATCAGTTTCTAACCCGGCGTGTCGTGATCTTTGGGCTCGAGTGTTTTGAATTCCTTGTGTGTTCTGTGTTTTTTTCCCCTCATTCGTCCGTAAACACTGTTTTACTTTAGTGAGTTTTCTGTTTAATTCTACCTCCTCTCATCACAGGACACCTCTCCCACAGCTCAGTACCTTTATGTCAGTTTGGGATGGCTCCATTGTTGGATTATTATCATCAATATACAGCGGGGGAAATAAGTATTTGAGCCCTTGCTGATTTTGCAGGTTTGCCCACTTACAAAGAATGCTTATTTTTCCTCATCAGATG